CCTGCACTAACCTGTTTTCACATTAATGAGTCACTTGTTCCTTGCACAGTGCTTTTTTTGGAGCTGTAATATGAGTTAGAGATAACACAGCAGCACCTTAGCTGTGTAGCCCGGTGTTGTCGATGGTGGTAATGGGCTTTTTTGATCGTCCGCAGCGATCCCAGCCTCTGCTTAGAATGGCCCTGCCAGTCCTCCCAGGGACTCCTCCCAGTCAGAGTCCTGACGCTGCTTGCCTCCTTCTCTGTCCTCCACAGGTGGTGGTGCAGCTCACTGATGACCTCCTGTCCCAGGCCGTGATGATGGTGGAGGACAGCCGGCCAACACTGGCAATCAACCTGTCTGGAGCCCGGCAGTACTGGCTGGAGGGCATGCTGCGCCATGAGATAGGTCAGAGTGGCTGGGGCTGGGGAGGTGATGTGAGCTGACTGCAGTAATGGATGTGCTGCCTGGCACCCTGGGACATGGCAGGCAGAAAAGAGGCCGTGGCGGCACAGGAAGGATGCTGTGAGCATCCTCTGACAGCCACCAGGGTAATGACCTCAGGCCTCGCACACAGCATTGCTGTTGGGGAGGGCCCGGAGCAGAGCCCAGCCAGGCTCAGGGCTGTGGGGGCCACAACCAGGCACAGTGAGGGGCTGCACAGCAGCAGGGTGTGTGCAAAGATCTCCCCAGCAGTGGGGAGCACAGGACAAGCAGAGATGTTACTTCCTTAAATCCTCTATCAGATCCTAGCTATTTTCTGCTCGAGGGCTTCCTGAGCTTGTGGTTTCTGTGTATTTAGTGATCCCATGGATCGCCCACCCATGCATTTGTCCACTCTCCTTTTGAGCCCCTGCAAACTGTTCATACCCATAATTTCTTGTGGCAAGGCGTCCCAGAGGCATCCTCCCAGGCCATAACACCGCAGGCAAGTTTTGGAGGGGACTGAGGCCAGCTGTGCCCCAGGTTCCCTCTGTGAGAGCAAGGCAGAAAGTTCAGGTGCACGCCTGGCACGATGTGCACCGCCATGTGCATGCATGTGCCTGTGGCAGCACATTGCCCTGCTGTGTGGCCTCAAAGGGCTGCCCCATCCCTATAAGCCTGGTGGGTGCCAGGTCTGCCCCAGTGGAGAGGCCTCCTTCCTCCAGCAGCCCTGGTACAGGAGAAAGCAGAAATACCACAGCAGCAAAGAAGGGACCGGGCACGATGGGTGCCAACATAAGGCCCTGAGAGAAGTGGGCCACATGGCTGTCTGATGGCTCTCACTCTTGTCCTGCCCAGGCACCCACTACATCCGGGGGGTAAACAACACCCGCCAGCCCTGGCACAGCTCTGAGGGCCGCAAGCAGTACTGCCTGAAGCCTGCCAACCCCACCGAGGAAGGGCTGGCAAGCCTGCACAGCGTCCTTTTCCGCAAGCAGCCCTTCTTGTGGCGAGCGGCCCTGCTCTACTACACCATCCACCAGGCCAGCCGCCTCTCCTTCTCCGCCCTCTTCCAGGACCTGGAGCAGTACGTCCAGGACGCTGGGGTCCGGTGGGAGTACTGCGTGCGGGCGAAGCGAGGCCAGACAGACACGTCCCAGCCAGGTAAAGCTTGAGGAAAGGAAAGCATTGATTTGGGAAGGGATTTCAAATGGAAGCATACAGCTGAGACAGCCCATAAAGCAGCAGCACTGCTCTACCCCCAGACATCCCCCACACTACCTCATCCACAGCTCCACTTTTGTATGGCTTTACATCTCATAAGTGATCTCTTTATGACAGCAATCTCTTAACATTTTATATAAGGTCATCACCACACTGGCTCCTCCATATCACTCAGGGCCAGTCATGGCAGCCTTGAGGAGCCCACACAAGTTTGTTTCCAGTCTCACAGATTTGAGTGGCGTGACTTACAGAAACTTCCAGGGAGGTAGCAGCCAAAGGAGAGATGAGATGAGATGAGATAAGCATTTTGGAGGAGTGTTTATATTTTTTCAGTGGTTTAATATTAAAAATATATATTCATCAGTCAGAAGGAATGGTAAAAGTGCTAAAGCTGTCCTTGTGGCAGGACATTGCCTGTCACCCGAGGCCTTTTGCAGACTTGAGACTCACTGCACACAGCTGCCCATACTTTTCCCCAGCACTGAGCCACAGAGCTGGGTTTGCTTGTCCTTTGGACCTTTTCCTTCCTGCCATTCTCATCACACTCAGGAGCGTGACTCTGATCCTGGGGAAATCACTGTACCCTGGAGAGGAACGAAAGGTTCATCCCCGCCTTCAGATATCACCTGGTCCAACCTGAGTTCTGACTCCTTTCTCTGTTGGACCTTTTTCATCCTGTTTGCGCATGATGCATATGCTACTACCTACCTCTTCAGCTTGCTTAGTTCCCTGGTGATCCCACGTGCTCTTCAGCCCAGTTCCCCGAAGGAGTCTCATCCTTTCCTTTCCCTGCCTGATTTCCCTGTTTTCCATGCTAAACGCCCTGACAAGCACTGGTCATAGTACCCAACAACGTGTAGGCCCTGGCACACTTGTTTCACTCTGGTTCAGCACACTCAGTCGAGTTACTGGTGATTTACACAAGTTTATATGAAAGAAGGGTATGCGCATTGTTTGCAGACAGTGGGGTGCTTGGCAGCCAGTCACATGCCCGTTTGCCCCCTTCTCTCCCAGGTTGTTTCAGTAAGGACCAGGTGTACTTGGATGGGATTCTCCGGATCCTGCGACATCGTCAGACCATCAACTTTCCATTGCTGGCTGCACTTGGAAAGGTAACAGGCTGGAGCAGCTGCCAGAGCCAGGGTCCGGCACCAAATTGAGGGGCTGGGGTGGGGGGTGGGCATTGTTTCCTGGCTCTGGAGGTCACGCTGGGCTGTGAGCCATTATGGGTGGCTGGGCTAGTGGTTGGTGGGAGGCCGAACATGGCTTTTCCATGGGCAGCACCAGCAGAGATGCACAGGGGCTGTTGTGAGGTCTCACTGCCCATTAGCCTTGTAACTTCGCTCCCAAAACATAACCTAGAGAAGAGCCCAACATCTCACAGCTGAAATAAGCTCAGAGAGTGAGACATCTCCCTCGAGGTCTCTGAGAACTTTCTTCAGCATCTCTAGGAGTTTATTATACCTTTCTCAGGGACTTTTGCAGCTGGTCCAGCAGGAACAGAGTCATTGCCAGAACAGGCGAGACCTGGCTGTCCTCTCCACCAGAACTAGGGGGTCAACTGCCCTCACCTCCTCTGGGCCTCCAGCACTCAGGGAATGGCCGAGGAAGCAGGGAACTTTTTTTTTAATTAAAGCATTGTTATCAATCAGCAGTGTTGGCAGCTCTGGAAACATCTGTTGGTTCAGAGCAGGGCTCCCAGAGGACTGCATTCAGGTCAGAGCTGCAGTGTTACTTGCTGGGCCCTTGCTCTTGTGTTGAGAAGCGCTTCCTCGGGACAGTTATTTCTGCAGCCTCTTCACAGAGCCCTTTCTGCTTTGCCTTTTCTCTAAGGTGATGGTACCCATTCTGGGGAACAGGAGCAACTCCTGGGTGGCGTGGTTTCTAGATGACCCACACCATAGACCCACTGCTTGCTGAAGGTGTGCAAAGTCATTCGATTGCAGCTCTACCTTAAGCAGTCTAGGCTCCCTGGCCGGTGTTTTAGTGTCCTGGTGCTCACTCAAGCAACCTCCAGCTCCCAAGGATGTTTTTGTGCCCTCCAGCCATGAGGCCTTGCACAGTCGTGGCTGGCTGTCTGCTTGCCAGCCTGCATGTGCTCACCACAGAGATGGCAGCTCAGCCACTGGCGCACAGCTCTTCTCACTATGGGATGACAAGGCTAGCCTCGTGCACCTTTTCTACGCTCCATGAGAAAGCCTCCCTTTCACAGCTCAGTTTCCTGCAGAGCTCAGGCATCTCCAGCTCCATAGGTTTAGCTTTAACTCCTCACCCAGTGCCCCGAAGCTCAGCCACAGTGGCCTACTGCAGCTCCTTCGCTCACGTGTTTTCTCAAAGATAAATCCTGGCTCAGCCCAGTACATCCACTGCAGGCATCTTTGCCTTGATGGACATTTTTTTCCCATGTCACTATAATTTTTTTTCCTTTAAAAATTCATCCTGAGCCTTGACTGCCACTGAGGTCATGCTAATGGGCCACCTGCATCTCCCCTTCCTAATAGGTGCTGCAGTTTTTAATGACCATTTCATGTCCCGCTTCTTTCATGTCTCTGAAGTGGAGATTAAGCAGTCACTTGGGCTGGAACACGTTAAGCTCTTTGCATTTACGTGCACTTATGGGTCTTCATCTAACGGCTGAGTTAGGAACGGCTGAGTTAGGTCTGAAGTGAGGAAGGAGAGGAAGAGCTTGTGGCAGCCCCATTGCAGGAGACCTTTGGGAAGAGGCCAGAGAAGCATCCAGCAGGGTAAGCTGCTCTGAAGGACCATTCCCTGGTCCCCACTCTCTGCTTGAAGGGCACATTCCAGAGAGTTTGTTTTTTCTGTTTTAAGGAAAGTCCATGGGACCATCACTAAGAGGCTCCTTTCATTCCTCAGCTGGCCTTTCTGTAATTGAGAGGTCAGTGACCTAGTCTTAGCTGCATTGTGACACTGGATAGGATCACCAAAGGAGTTTAATGTTATTTCAAGTCTTTTTTTTTGTTGTTGTTTTTTTCTTTTTTAATCTGCTTATGCCCACTTCTAGTCAGCTCAGTAGTATTACTGTGGGCCAAAGCTAAGGCTAATACTGCATCCCTTCTCATTCACTGAAGTAGCAGGTCAATTAAAAAAAAAAAAAAAAAAAAACCACTAGCCTGTTTCTTCCAGGGCTGATGGGCTCTCCCCTTGTGAGTGGCACTAGTCCTGCCTGTAGGGCCCCAGTTGCTGAGCTCTGTGGCAGCTGGCATGTTGATGAGCATCCCATGCACCTTCTTTGTGGCCTCATGTGCCTAGAGTGATGGAAAACACAACCCTGTCCCTGCAAATCCCCGATTCGTTCCCCACCCCACCCCCCCAAAACATAAGCCAGAGGGAGTATTTCTGCACAGAGTTGGTAGGCAAGGATGGGTAACCAGGCTGAGCAGGGAATGTGCTGGAGGGAATGGCAGGTACGAGAGCTCCCTGCCTTGGTGGCTTGCTAGGGCCGAGGGGGCTGGGGGAGGGGGGTGCTGATACATCTCCCTGCTTCCCATTAGGTGTCCTATGAAGATGTGAATCGCCTGAAGAAATTTGGAGTCTTGGAGAGGACCCGCATCCCCCATTTCATGCAGGACCTGGAGCGGTACATGAAGCAGCTCGACCACATTGTCACCACCAACAGACTAAATGAGCAGGAGCTGGAGCAGCTGCTGCCTGACTGAGCAGGTGCCAGCTTGCAGCCCTGGGACCCTGCTGGGCTCAATTGCTGAGGCTGGCACCTCTTGGCCACTGTGCGTGTGCCTGAGCACAGCTCTCCTAGTGCCTGTCTGCCCTGGGCTCTATTTATTTGATATTTATTAGAGCTGTTGAGCCAGTCCTTGCCTAGAAACGGCACAGCTTAAGCCTCTGTCCCCTCCACTCAGGAGGGCCGGGGGGAAGGGGTGGGGGGCAACGTGCATGTACCGCTGTGTAGGGTAGTTCAGTCAGAAGGTGGTGTGGTATTGTTAATGCTCCCCCACCTCCCCAGCTCTGTGCGTGTCAGGGACAGCTGAACTGCTCCGTGTGGTTTTTCCGGAGCAGGTGTACAAGACGGTTCAGAGGGATAGGGGCAGAGCAGGTGAGCCACACTGGGCCCAGAGTAGGCACAGGGGGCTGTGCAGGGCTGATCACACTGCAGAGAGCATTGAAGGGGAGGGGGCCTCAGGGTGCCATGGGGTATTCCCAGCAGAGGCTCTGGCTGTATTCAGGCTGCAAACACAGGCTGGTGGCCCTGGGACGCGCCTGGGAGCCCTGGCAGGGAGCAAGGGCTAGCCTGTAGCCACATCTTAGCTCCACTCAGGTGCTTCCCACTCTCTCACCACTTTTCTCATGCCCTCCCCTAGCAGCAAGAAGGATTTTAGCCCACCAAAAAAAAAATCTCTGCTCTCCACCCCACACCAGATATTTGCCCTGTCCCTGCAGACCCTTCAGCACCCCAAGTAAGTGTCACTCTGCTTCCCCCCCTGCCCCACCCCCCATAGCTGCTCTGCCTGGCACTGACTCAGGATGGGGATTGGGCTTTGATGTTAGGAAAAATCTGTAATAAAACTATGTAATGGAAACTACCTGTGGGTAATAGATTACGGAGGGCATCAAATGCAAAAGGCCAGGCTGGTACCACTGCTACTATTGTGACCACGCATCCCACTTGCTTAGCCAAGGCTGCATGTCTCCAAGCCCATGGGTCAGGAGTGGGAAGGGGTCACTGGAGCATGCAAAGCAAAGTATTAAGCAGAGTTAACATTAATAAATCGAAGCAGCCAAAAGCAGATGGTCGCTCATCTGCAAGAGGGTGTGGCTGCAGCATGAAGGCCTGCTTCAGCGCAGGTACCCTGAGATGTCTCAGGAGAAAAGTCATCACCCGAGCCTTGAGGCTGCAAAAGAGAGTACACAACTATTCTCTGTTTCTCAGACACTCAGCAAGTAAAAAGCATCACTTCACATCATTAAAAACAGCTCTCATGGCTATAGGATGCCACAAAGGCTGGAAGGATTCAGAAAGGACTGGATGCATTCACAGGGCATAGTTCAAAACCTGGTACCACTGTAGCAATCCAGGATGCCTCAAATTCTGGCATACCTGCAGAGCAAGCTTACTTCTGTGCCTGGCTGTACCCCAGGCCTGTCGCAATCTAACCCATCAGCCAAGGCTAGTTTCAAAATTTTTTCCCTGCCTGGTTCCCCCGAGCTGTCCCTGGTCTCTAATACATGTGATCTCTGCCACCATCTCTGCACCCTGGCTACACCATCCCTGGGAGAGTTCTTTTTCGAAGAAAACAAGGACTTGCTTTTAGCCTTTTTTAGCTAGAGCTTTTTATCCCATTGAGCTCCTGTGAGCCCTGAAAGTCACACAAGCCAACTTGTGGCTCCAAAGAGCCCAGTCTCAATCCCAAAAGCTCCACGTTTGGCTGTGAGTCCAATTCGCAGCCCCTCCAGCTGCTTCACGCACTCTAGATCTCACAGGCCACCTGAAGCCTCTCTGCAGGGAACAGATGCTGTGGTACAGAGCGAGCTAGGGAAGAGACAAGACCAGCTGTCTTGGGGATTTCACTTTCATCTGGTCCAGGCCTCCAGGGATATGTTAGTATTTATAACAGCTCCCCTCTGCAAGCCCCCCTGTACAAACACACTTCCAGTGAGGTCAATTAGACTGCTCTTTAATATAATATTTCCTCCAACATTGCAATCCCCAACCCTGAATGCAATACAGCACTGCATTAAAAAGGTAGTTAAACACATCCCAGTATAACCCACCCTTGTCATCACAAGGAGCAAAGCCTCGACTGGCACTAAGAACCAACCAAGGGAAGTCTCTTGCAAGCCTTAACAGTGAAATGGCAGCAATGACAGAGGGCAACATAGATACTGCGATGATTTCTGATTGGTTTCAGTTGCGTCCCTGATGAAGTAACAGCATGGAGATGAGAGACAGCACATCTCCCCAGCCAGGGCTAGAAGCGCTTCATCTGGCGACGTTCTTGTCGGCGCTGTTTCTTCTCATTTGGCTCCTGACTGGCAGCCGAAGAGTCTGCTGTAAACCAGGGCCCCAGGATGTTCACCCACAGGAGATAGAGTGCACGCCCCGGAGCCTGCAAAACACATGTGGCAGCAAACTCAGTCACTTTGGATGCAGCTCTGGCAGGGGTAATGGTAAGGTCAGGAGGGCTGGACTTATAGAGGAAGCAAAGTGAGTTGGCAGATGTCTACATGCTGGATCAGGGGCACCATAAGCTGCACTGAAATCAAAGGCAGTGGCATGCACCCAAAATTAATGGCCTGATTTCATAAAATTTATGAACTTGCACATGTCTCAGAGCAGAGCATTTAAGCTTCATGTATGGAAATCCCAGCATCAGTTCTGAATTACCCAGAAAAATCCAGCTTCTCAGACATCCAGCCTCTCCCTCCTTCATGAAGGAAAACATTTCTCTGAAGGAAAGAACATGATCCATGCAGCATCTGGGGTAGTCACAGTCTAGACTGCCCTCTGCCAGGACCAGCACAAAAGGAACTTGTGAGTAAGGACCGAAACAAGATGTCTTTCCATTCTCCCAAGACTGCCTTGTACAACTGTGGGGTTTTTTAATTGACTATTTGGAGATTTTTAATCCTTTTGCAAAAAACATTTTAGCTGGACAAACATTTCAAGGGTTAAAAGTGTCTGGTATGTTATCAAAGCCTGCAGAGTTTGATCTGTTGAATGGCAAAGCGTCCAGCAGTTCCCATCTTCAGTCAATGCAAGTGAATGAGCATGAAGACCAAACACAAAGAAAGAGATGCAGTCTGTCTATTAGACTGTCACAAAAAGGCATGGAAAACAGCTCTACACACAATGAGAGCCTTAATCTGGCACATGCTTTCTGTTGCCCTTCCACAGGACTAGAGAGAAAGGCCAAGACCAGCCTAGTTTTACTGTAAGGTCTACCCAGAGGGATCAGAAATTCTCTTGCCCTTGTATTATGGCCTCATTTTTAACAAGATTTGATGGGGAAACTTTTTATCAGAAAAAGGGAGGGGTTTTTTTTTTTTTTTTTTAAATCAGAAACCACCTTTGGCCTGAAACAGACCGTGAAAAAATGAAATGGATCAATAACGTCCTCAGTTCTGAAAACAGGGAAAGATAGGGACAACCTAGAGCAACAAGGAAAATTGCAGGGCTTACCAAGAGCCAGAAGTACCAGATGTAGAGCGAGAAGCAGCTCAGAACCTGGACGATAGCTGTCAGCAGGATCACATCCTTGAGGTGCCTGAGGGAAGAAAAGCAAAACCTTTTAGTTCCAGCCTCTGCTGCTGTGCCAACAGAGCCCTTCTGCTCCACTTCAGGGAACAACCCTGCTTGGTCCCGACCAAAAGAGCTGTCCCTACAATTATGCCCATTTTGCTACCTGAGTTAATCTAGAAGAAAGTATAGTGACAACCAAAACACAATCTGACAAGTCCAGCCCTCTTTAGGGCCTGCAGCTAGGATCCCCTGCCCAAAAGGGACATTGAGAAATCTGAGGAATGTGAGTGGGATATCAGCAACAAAACCAACCTCCCAACAGGCTGCAACAATAGCAGGCACCTGCCTGTTTATTTGGACAATATCTTGGCATAAAGTGTAGTCGCTCACATGCTCATGGCTGGCTGCACTAGGGGAAAGCATGAATCTTCACTGTGTCATTTCATGTGCTAACAGCTAGTTCTTCTGCAGAGAGACACGCTCAGCTGTGCCTACTGTTACCAAATGGCTGGGGGACGGCAAGGACAAACACACTATCATTCACACACTGAGCTACAACAATACGCAGCTCCTACACCTGCTCATCTGACTCTGATGGATTTTCCATGCCAACCTGAGGCAGTGCTGAGAGCAGCCACGGACAAGGACAAGCTGCCCACATCTCAAATACCACCCTCCTGCGGGAACGGATGCACAGCAGAACATGTCAGAATGAACGCACAGACAGCAGCACAGTGCAAAATGTGAAATTAGATAGTCACCACCAGAAACAACTGGTTTAAAGTGGACCATCATCACCACATCAAGCACTCAAGACACTGCAGAATTTACTATCAACAGCTCTGTGATGGGATACTGAGGTTCAGAAATTTACCCAAGGTCACACAGAGGGTCATGGCAGAGCTCCCACTGGACCCAACTCTTCAAAGACCAGCAAGTCCCTACGCTGTAAGATTAGCCTTCCTAAGTCCTGGAGCAACGTACAGCATCTGTTTCAGTTACAGACACATAAGGGAAATACCTTCAAATCAGCAGTGTTCAAGAAACAGTTTCAAAAGAACGTGCTTTAACTGTAGCACAGTCAACTGAAAGACAGGAAAACATTAACTGCTTTCTGAAAGTAACCTCTAGCTTAGTTCCCTGATTTACAAAGTGCTAATTTAGAATGCTTCATGTGACAAATGGGCACATTCAAGGGGAGGAGCACTGAACATTCATTCACAGTTAACATGTGTATACCTGCTGCTCTAGGAGCAAAGGAGTTAAAACAATGAAGGACTTGCACTCTCAGGGCTGAGGGCTCCGAAAAGGCTTGGAAACAAAGGTGTGGGGCAAGAACGGGACAGTAACTTCAACTGCGCAGTCTGTGTTTTTACAGTACTACTGTAAACAATCCTTACTGTGTATTGCTCAGACGGAAATACCTTGGAGCCCCAGTACCATCCAGAGAAAGTTCTGCATCTACAACCAGGACTGCGGAGGTGTAACAATTGCACTTTTTGGCTTTTCACAATAGGTCAACGGAATCCCTATACTTAAATCCGTCAGTCATCTCTCCTGACAATGCCACCTCGCTCATCCATGGATCAGTTAGCAGGGACACCCAGTGTGCTTTGGTAACTTATATACCCAACAGCTTCTCCCAGAACTAGTAGGATAACCAAGATGACATCAAATTTATTTTCCTTACTCCAATGTCCCATATTGTGTCTTTCACAAACAAAGGTATCCAAAATATGTTATTTTTCTATAATAAAATCAAAAGAGCCAAAATCGCTGGCAAGTGTAAGACAGGAGAAAAATGCTATGCTGACAAGCAGAAAAAAAAGTTACTACAGGACAAACAGGGTGAAAAGCAAACTGCTCACACGTAGCAGAAATAAATAATTTCCTCTCTTTTTGGCCACCTCCTCCTTGTGACTGGATCTCTTACACTGGGCATTTTGAGCCACTTTGGCTGCACACAGAAAATCTACTACTCCAACAGAATCACAGCAGGTGAGACTTTGTCCTGCACAGAGAGAGCAGTAGGTTCTGTGTTGCGCAAGACAGCCTGCTGTTAGCATCCCAATAGATCTGCTAGCTGCAGAAATGAAAAAAACTCAATTCATGGCCCTCCCAGCAAGAGGTAACTTGCAAACATGACATGACACAGAGCTGCTTCCCTGAGCGTGGTTGTTATGTAACTCCTCAACTGGCAGGTAAAAACCTGCAGCAAGAGAGCTGTTTATCAACAAGAGCACAACAGAAACCAGCAATGCTCACGTACTGCCCCCTCACTCAGACACTTGCATAGCTAATCCACCAGCATAAACTGGCTGGCTGCCTCCTGCTTTGCGTCACCTGCCCTGCCTCATTTGGATTACAGCTCTCCTTAGGGATCTACTGAGAACGTAGTCCCACTGAGTTTCTTCAAAAGACTGGCAGCAAGTGACAGTAAGTCCTAAACCCCATCATCTGAGGGAAGGAACCAAGTACTCTGGATACATCACTGAACACATGCTTAAAAAAAATTAACAAAGAACGAACCAGCAGATGGAGGCTGAGGGCAGGGAAGCCTGAGAACAAAACTTGAAGCATGCACAAAAGACTGCTTTCTATAACTAGGTTGGATCTTGTTGAAGATACATAAATCTAGAAAATATTTTCTACTACTTCAGTACTATTATCTCCTTATTTTATTTAATTCCTGCAAAGTGATGTTATTGTTGTGTGTTCCTTGACCAAGAAAAAGACAGCAATGTCACCTCCAAGAAGACTAAACAGGCAAACACTTTGCACTGCCTGGAGAAAGAAATGGGTAACACACAACTGTAGAAGACAAAAAAAAAAAAAAAAAAA